TAAAAATCATTGTACCGAAACAACGAGCAACTTCAATCGACCCCATTTCTCCGACTGGGGCAAGGACCACTTCTTGGGAAACTCATTTCTCTTTAGTGGTCGAACATCACAATGATATATGCATGTCAAATATGATGTCTGGAGTATAAGATAATTTATGTTTAATTATGTCTTGTCAAAAAACGCAAAAATTTTTAAAGGAAAATCTAGCAATTTCAAATAACCTTCCATTAGAAATTATTGGAATAGGTAAGTAAAAAAAATTCAGTAGTTTATAAAATTTTGCTCTGGTAGAAGTAAATATTCGAATCAAAATGCACTATGAAATGCAATTACCGGTCCGTAAATAAATATTTTTTCACACCCCATAGGCAAACTAGGTCGTTTGTTATTTCATTGCTTTGAGTGTTCAAAACGTCTGAAAGAAATTCTGGAATATTTATCAAAGTACTACATTATACAAATATTTAAAATCCCTTTTCTATAAAAATAAAAATTTGAAGAAAAGTCAAACTGTATTTTTACTATCAATAACTCAAATTTCCCAGGAAGGGTTAAAATAAAAAATGTCCAAATACAAATTCTAGATATATCGATAAAATTCATTTGTTTGCTAACAGATTGTATTTCAATATATAACAGACTCTTAATCCGGACACTATTTACATATGTAAATCACTTTACACTGTTCAATAATTCCATTGATTAATACAGAAACGTGCCATAGGGTCATCAACGAATTATCTCTCACTATAGCACAATTGTCAGGTCGGTGATTGAGGAATTTATTAGCAAGAACTTTTAACGATACCACCGGTAGACGATCAAAAGACGGATAATTCCTTTTTCCGTTACTAAAAGTAGCTTTCTCACAAACGTCGTAACGTTTCTCGAGCAAAAATTGAGGTATTTGAAAACGAAACGAATATCATTAGCATCAATTTACTTGTCCCTCGGAAAAGAATATAATTCCCTTAAGCAGCTCGTTGGGGAAAAGAGAATTAAGTAAAGCGCTCTGAACCAGAAAATAACTTTATGAATCAATTCTTTTGCGTTATTGTGATCCTTCTTTTCTCAATTGGCTGCTCGTAGGACGAAGAAAAATCGCTCCTTCCTATGAAATTTCCCGAGAAGTGAAACTTATTGGAACGTTTGAGAAATATAAGCGAAGACAGACGGGCTGGAGAACAGCTGCCGGAAAACGGAAAAAGGTGACACCACTTTTCTATTCTTTCTCTTTCACCGTATAAATCATCATGAATCGCGTGTCACTTCTGCGTAAATTACACGTCGTATACGAAGGAAATTACAGATATGACTGTTCAACTGTACGAACTCCAATAAAATATACGATACGAAATTTCTTTTTCTCCTAACATTACATTTTGATATATAACATTACGCGATGCCATTTACCGTGATAAAACACATGGTAGTTTTTTATGCTCAATATTTTTATGGGTAAAATTTCAGTTAAGACTCATCAATTTATTTATAACACAAATTATTTTTGTTTGCAAAATTTCCTGCATTATCTGTGGTACACTGTCATTCAAAAGTTAGGAGCACTCTACTTTTGATAAATGTCTACAATTAGAGCCCCAACGAGAAATCAATTGAAAAGAGGTAAATTCTATATATTTTTGCCCCTGGTTATCAGAAAAAATATAACTTACCTCACGGCAAAAACTTGACCAGTCAACAATAGTCTCCTTGAAAAGAATAACTTCAAAGTGTGAATTTAAACGAAGCGTTAAAAGTGGTACATGGCTAGCCAATTTTAATCGTGATATCACGACGATTGCCAGTTTTATTGGATATTTTTTTATGATGCATCCTCCGCGCTGTGCATTTTATGAACAGGAATTGAAACTAAGCAAGGAGACTATTGTTGACTGGTCAAGTTTTTGCCGTGAGGTAAGTTATATTTTTTCTGATAACCTAACGTATGTAGGTTAGTGACGCGCTTTAAAAGTATTGTCTACCCCACAAAGTCATTAACTTTTGAAAATAATGATTTTATATCAATATTTACCACAATATCTAAGTAAATACAAGCGACCCCCAAATTTTATCAATAGTTTTGGATTCGGGGGGCGAAAATATATAGAATTTACCTCTTTTCAACTGATTCCTCGTTGTCTAATTTTTTATAAATATACTAAAAATTGAAGAGTTGAATACAAAAACCAGGCAGCTTTATTTTCACTAATTTGACAGGTACTAAAAGAAACTGTGTAAAAAGATAATAAAATCTCCTGGCTTGTAAAAGTTGCCTGACTTTATGATAAAAATGAAATTTTAATTAATTTTCAAAACCAGCAAGAATACCTCAGCTATGAAAGATTTTTGTTTGGAAACTTTTTTTTCTTTTCATTTTTCAATGGTGTTCAGACTTAAATCAATACCCCATTCTTGTATGACTTTAAATTGGCTAACGGTACTGCCGAGGAAAGTAAACAGTGTTTCTAATGGTTTGAGTAAATGAGAGAATGGTATGGAAGTGGTCGAAAAAATCTCATGCAAGAGATTTTTTATTGAAAGGCAAACCATGCGGTAGATCAGATAAGTGGAATTATTTGCATCTAATATTCGCAGTTATTATAATTTCAGAAAAATACTGTTAATTAATTTCAACCAATTCATCAATTTGAATAAAAGTTGATCACTTCAGGCGACTTTTACGATGTATGTAGAAGTTCTCTGTTTGCGGTTTTGACAGCTAAAACTCGGGGTATTTGTAACGTTTTAGCTGGTGGAAATGAGATTCACTATGGAGATCAGAAGCACAGCGAGGCAAATTGTATCTAAAAATTCATGAAACTTTCGTGGACAATGCAATATCGAAACGAACCGACGAATATCCAAGTGGCGAGTATGTAATAGCAGCTGAGAGGTATAAATAGAACACCTTTCGTGACGTACCAATGGAAAATTGAAGCGAAAAGTGGCTTTGTAAATTGTTCATTTCGTGGCTTTTAATCGAAACTCGGCTGTACGCTGTTTCGCATTTGCAGCGAGGCGTTTTGAAATTAAATGCCCCGTATGTACGATGTTTAAATGAACAACATCCTGCTCCGTTCGTTGCGCAATAAAGCTCAGAACTTATTAGACGAAACGTCATCGTTAATGGCACCTACCGTATCGGAAGTTTAACGAGATAACAAGTACAATTATCAAAAAATGTCAACCTCCGAGTTGAAAAATATTCTTTCAACAAGACAACTTTCTGATGGGAAAGTTTCATTTAAAATACACTTAGCTCGTTCAGCTAACAATTTTTGTTATACCTTTTGAAAAGCAGATACGATATATTAAATTATTTCAAAAGTTTCTGAAGCTTTCTTTTTTGAATAAAATGCTATAAAATTTAATACACTGACAGATAAACTTGTGATAAAATATTTATGGAATTATAACTGGAAAGATTTAAATATAAAGTAGAAAAGATTCGTGGGAGTGACAGGTATTAAATTAATCATTTTGAAATTTTTGCAAGGTTTGTGTAAAAAACAAAAATTTATCTTTCACTTTTGTCAGAATCATAAAATATTAAAAGAGTAATATATAGTTATGTGATAGGTTGGAATAAAGGATATTCGATTCTAGGAAGTTGATTAAGGAGTAGTAGGTTTAACCAGTCACTCCGGAAATATCAAACACCGTGGAGTGGTATTCATAATTTCCGGCTGTGGTTCTCAAAATTTCTGGACTTTCCAATATCGCGAAGCGACGATACCGGAGTTCGTATCGATGTAGAATGTCGAACGAATTTTGATGCAACTACTCTACCTAACTTAACTAAATACCACAAATTCGAAAATCGATCGTTGTGCGGCTTTCGGACAAATGTTGGGTCAACAGAGCTCGGTCGGCTTACACGCATAATTTCCTCTTATAATGTACGTTATGAAATTCCCGGTTCTCGTTCTCTGCAGTTGCATTATGACGGAAATTTTCGTTAATTGGCCGCGCAATTATCGACAGCTGTAACTTACGTATGAATTCCGGAGTAACCGAGCTAATATGATTACATTGTTTTGAATACTATTTCAACAAGAATATTATACATACCCGTAGCTTTGCAAGAGGAAACTGCAAACTTTGTACATAATACCACTATCGATGTTCCATAGAAACTAATTTCACAAAATTTATAAATTATTTTGTTTGCAAACTACATTGCACTGGCAATTTGCTTACCGTATGAAAATAATTAAATTCTAATCAAAGTTTTTAGAATTTAATTTCTTGGATTTAATAGCATGAATAACATAATAATTCAAAAACTAGCCAAAGTAGAATGTTGTTCAGAATCACCCCAGCTACCACCCCTTCAAGGGACCAACCGTAGTTCTGGAACACCCTGTATATCATACCCTTCGCCACCCTGTAATACTTGAGTCCAAGCTTTCGGTCAACGATATTCCAGGTCATACTGATCATATTTCTCGATTCTGCTTGGCTATCAACTGGCTTTCGTTTTTTCTATGAAAGGACCATGTAACTCGGAACAAGGATGTTTTATATCTGGTCTCTTGGATTGGCAAAAAGGTAAATTGGAAATCAGCCATTTTGAATTGTACCCATAAAAGCCATGCGATCATGGGTATATTATATCCCTTCATCGGTAAGACCTAGTTCACTGCTTCAAAAATAAAAATCTCTACAGTAGAAATCTTTTGTACACCCCATTCGCATGTGAGCTGTTTAAATATAGGTCGCTGTAAAACCTCAGCAGAATTCAAGCTGTGCCAAACAGAATCTTGAAAATCATTTTCAACAAACCATAACATACCATAATATGGTATGTATTATTACAAGGTGGGTATTAAGTTAATTAATTTATGCATAAGCCATTAATCCTTAGCCATAACAGTTCGCCTAACAAGTTGATTTTACATTATGATATGCTTTCTGAACCGACCGATTAATGAAATTAATCATTTTGAATATCAAAATCGAAATCAATTAATTAATATAAAAATATCTTTACTCACGTTAATGAATTCTCTACTGTTTAAATGGTTCCACCTGTAACATACAAACGGAAAATTATGAGGCGAAAATTTATAATTAATATTTTTGTATCAGGTAAATATTGTTTATTAACATTGGATATTTTGTAGGAAAACATACGAGGGAAATTAGTAATTCTTCCAACAGCTTAAAAATACTGTAGAAAGTAACATTTTCACCTTTTTCCTTCGCGCGAGGGAGCAGATTTAACGTATTACCAGGGAAAGATTTATACGCGATAGAAAAAATGAAGTAAGAAACGACATGTTCGTGGCAATTTGAACGATAAATATACCCGGTCTTCTCAAGAAGTCGAAGCCGTTGAGGCTCGTAAATTTTAGCTAATTGTCTGGCTCGGGTGTTGTGTTGAAACTAGCAGCCATGAAAACTCTCGGCGGTAAACAAGACGAATAAAAAGTGGCAGAGAAGAAAAGTAAAAGAGGAGCGAAACAGAAGTTCTTACAAATTCTTTTATTTATATTTTATTTGTAATATTTTTCCAGAAAAGAAAAGAAAACGTGGCTTTCAACTTTTCCAATGGAACTACAATTTCTTTCTTTTTACCTTCGTCTATCAAAAAATATTACAAATATAAAAGATTTACATTCTTTATTATGGCGGCTATAAAGAACAGTATCACTTTTTCTTCTTTCATTTCTCTCTTATATACAATTTACGAGAAAAGCACTTGCCACCGTTGACGATAATACTCTGTACACGCATTTGGAATTTAAGTAGTGCAGGTAAACGATAAACCGTACGAAACGCGTATTATCAGTAACTAGTAAGCGAACCTACCTGTTTAATAATTTACTAATTTAAATCCAACTGATAAAAGGGAACTAGAACTTCTTACAAATTTAGATTCGATTTAAATTATACACCTTTACCCTTTTTATTTCGTCTGTGAAGCCCGTTAAAGGTTCCTATTCCTGTTTCGTTATCTTTATTGATGAACGTGAAGCTCGGAATTTAATTTAAAGCAACTTTCTGTTTCTTATTCGGAAACGAGGAAAGGCAAACATAAAATTCGTGTTACCGGAGAAATTGGAGCGGTTCGGGAATATTTTAAATTCACGAAAGCGAAAAACTATACGAATGGTAAAGCTCTATCTCCGAAGCAAGATCGATAATTGAATTTCCTACTCTATGTTGATTTGGTCGTTTAATTTTCATCGTTCTACACGAGCAACGACCGATAGTTACTTGATTATAATCGTTATGCGAAAACGATTGAAAAATTAGAAAAAAAAAAAGAAAACTTCGAAGCAATATTTTTTAATATCGCATGATTTCTTTTTAATAAAATGAAATATTTTCCGCGAATGAACTCGTAACAGTGTTGCAAATATAAAAAATATTTCTGCTCTAATATCAACCTTTTTCTATCGTCGGAACCTTTGTCGTTCGAGCGAGGAGGAGGGTTGTTCAACCGAGACGGCTGGAAATAAAATTCCAATCATCAAGCACAGGTACGTGTTTTTTATTTTTTTATTTTTCAGAGGAAGGAAAAAAAGGTGCGAAACAGTTCGATTCGTCGAGACACATTGTTCACCGCTATTAGCCAAGGACGACTTCAATTGATTTCTTAAATTAGCTTCGGTACCGTTGCCCCAGACGGAGTGGAAACGAATAAAACGTGCCACCCCCTGGCAAGGTGAATTTGAATAGCCGGTACGTCAAAGAGGGAAGCGAAGACGGGCGGAGGAACGCAGACACATTCGACGGGAAAAACCGAAAGAGAAAAAGAAGGAAAAAAAAAAGGGAGAAGCTGATTCGGTACGAGGGGGTGGCATTGTTCGAGGAGAGAAAAACAGAAATGGGTTCAGCAGTTAATATCGAAGCGAACGGGAGAGCAACCGGTACGAAACGAAGCGGAATGACCTTATTGCTTGGGTCGAGTGCAATCTACGATTGGCTCGATCTGTTATTACTATTGGCTACTACCGATTTGTGAGCCTGAATTTTCTATACTTTTGTCCGTACCTTTTCATGAACATATTCCTTCCACAAGTTACTGCATTTCATTATTTTTTCTTGGAAGGGTAGACTATCCGTTATGCTTATTACCAGTGTAAAAAAAGTTATTGAAAATTTATGATAATATAGGAAAATAAAAATATAAGAATGATCTGATGTAGGCAGGACCAAATTAAAAATTGCTGAGATTCAAAAATTGAAATATAATTAATATTTCAAAGTATAGAAAAAGGGCAGCAATAAAAAGAATTTCATTCAATATTTTTTCACATATTAAATGGAAGGTTTAGATTGGGGCCCAGAGTTGTAAATCCCCTCAGGCGCCCGATGTAGAAAAAACCCCATACTTGCAATAAAAATTGAAAGTGTCCTGAAAGCTACAAACAGTACCCAGTGTACGATATACTTCCTTTACGTAACAAATATGCTTATCGATAGTTTCATAACAGTTCGCGACTTTAATAGTCATTGTTGGTAACCAGGTAAGGATAAGAGTTCATTAAAACTTAACGGCACAATGTATGCGCTTACGCAAGCTTTTATACAAGTGTGTTGACTTGTTAGCGTGGAAAAACGAGGCTACGTTAAAGAAAAGTTTCTATGGTACACGTAAGATGGTACATGGATTTTATTTCCATTCGATCAATTGCTTACATATTGTTTACATTTAAACACGATTGGATTAAAATTTATGGGGCCTGGGGCTATTAAACCCCCTTGTTGATAAACTTGGCCCAAAAATTGACGTTTATTTTAATTGAAATTAAATAACATTTAATTATAAAGAAAAAGGACAACGATAAAATAAAATTTTATCCGGTATTTTTTGCCATGGTAAATGGAAGGCTTATTAGAAGTGATGCCCTGGAAAAAGGGGCCCGGGGTTGTAGCCCCCTTACCACCCCTAAATTCGACACTGCATTCAAGGAAAAATTTTAAACGCAACTTCGAGAAATTAAGAACGGTCAACAATTTTGTCCGTGACAAACTTCTGTGTCGGTATACGCGCTTTTAAAATGTAATTAGACTCTCCTGTGTACATAAATTTATTTTTATCGCGATGAAAATTCTGCAAATGATCGAGAGAAGCGACCTCGTAAACTTACGAGGGGATTCGAAGTTTGTAGCTTCTGCTGACAGTTAAATTGAAAGGCATTTACATTTATAGCGACTTTCCAGCCGTAATGAAATTTCGCTACCACATAAACGCATAAACTTGTTCGTGCTATTAGAAAAAATCAGAGGTTTACCTAATTACAGTTCTAAAAATTAAGAAGATTCAAATCAAATAATTCAACGAAACGACTTGAATTATCGTTCATCATTTTCAGATGTCAAGAAATAAATCCCAGAGGACGATTTGAGCCTGATATCAAGTACCGTTTTTCTTTGTTCGTGCTGTTAAAAAAATCAGATGTTTACCTAATCACAGTTCTACAAATTAAGAAGATTCAAGTCAAATAATTCAACGAAACGACTTGAATTATCGTTCATCATTTTCGGATATCAAGAAATAAATCCCAGAGGATCCCGGTATTACAGTACAATTCTTCTTTGAACGGAGCGGATACCTTTGATACTTTGAAGTGATCAGTTTGCATTTTTCAAGTTCAAAGAAAACGCAATTCGAATTCGATATGCAGATTTCCTGCACAGGAAAAGTGCAATAAAAATCTTTTCTGAAGAATACGATTCTAAATGGAAATAGTAAAAATACAAATAAACTTCTCTTCAAAATAAAAGAAAAGTAATTGATACGTCAAATTAAAAACACTAAAACACAATTAGCAGAAGTTGTGAAAGAAACAACGATCAGAAAGAGTTTCCCAACAATAGGAAAACAAGCAGGTCTACTAAAGTGGCTTAAAGTTCGATGGGTAGAGTTGAAACGCTTCTTACAATAACTCTTGAAGTGAGTAAAATGCAATCCGTGCACGTTCTCTCCACGAGGCATGTAAGTATTAGCTTTGTGGAAAGGAGAACGAGGAGAATTCACGTAAGACATTTAGCGATCTCAGACAATGATATACCATCTAAGAGAACGTTGCCTGTATACGAATGTAATCGTGAATCTGACTTCGAGAGATATGACAATCCATGGATTATTCTCCCTAACGCTGGGGATGCATTTAACATGATTATTCGACAGGATATCACGTATACAGCATGTCTTAACGCTTTGACAGCTGTGTCTCATGAAATCAGCGGTACGTATAACTTTATTATTATTATATTAGTATCTTATTTTTTTTATTATTTCATTTTAGAAAATACTGAAACGCCACAAACAACACACCTGCTTGTTTGGGTTACAATGTATCACGTTGTTCTAAGAGATTGCCCTGATGTTCGTCCTTGGCCCGAGGATTACACAGGAGTCCCGCAACTCGGTCACCCAATTTTCAATAGCTTATATCTTGAAAACAAAGCCTTAGATTGCAAAATGGTAAAGGGTTTCTCGATTTTCTTTGTTACAGAAAATTCGCAATCTTCATAATTTACATTTTCTCGAAATATTCTATGTAGGGTAATAGAACGGGTGCAATGGAAAAAAAAGAAATTTTGTTACAGATAATATTAACATAAATGAGCCATTCAGAAACCAAAATGTTTAATTCCACTCTTTTATTTCTTTTCTTTTTTTAATTTCATTGTCAAGGTATATAATTAATACTTAACTATTTATATTTTATCAATTTATCTACTTTTTATTTTCTGGAGTCTATCTGGCAAATGAATGGTTCAAACGATGAATTTGTTATTTTAAATATGTATTTTACATATACCACAGACGTTCTACGCCATTTACTTTCGCATCCATCAAGATTTTAATTCTACCTTGTAAAATGATCAATAATATTCCATGATAAGCATTGCGTGGTCGTGGTTATAAATCTTATGCACTACAGTGAACACTTTAACTGTCGCTATAAATCAAACAGATTGAAATCTGAAGATCGTACGATCTAATTAATTAAGTTCCATTATTTTCTGCGCTGCTTATCATAAGAGTTGTTTAAATTCTCTTTATAAAT